AGATGAAAACAGGGATCAACGCGTGCTTCCCTTCCCCCTTTTCCCCCTGAATGAACAATGAACAAAAAACAAAACCAGGGGAAAGAGGGGGCAAAGTAAAATCTGGTCTGAGATCAGTTGTGCTGCCCAAGAACACGCTGACTCCAGAGGTGTCCAAGCGGGGCAGAGCCAGCGACTCCGGTCCGTGCGGCGGCGGGGGGGAGGCAGCGGCTCTGCTTGATTCCATGGAGTTCTGGGGAGGCACAGTGGCCCCTTGGTTCCAGGAGGGTCTGAGATGTCTCAGAGTTCTGTTTGTTCCAAAGAGACCCCGCATGTCACAATGGTCCCTTGGTTCCATGGGATTCCACAGTGTCCCTGCATTCCTTTGGTTCCATGAGGCCCTGCAGTGTCACGGTGCCACTTGATTCCGTGACATTACAAAGAATCAGAATGGCCCCTTGATTTAAGGCCAACTGCACATGGGGCTGCCTTAGGGGGAGTGTGGGCACCAAGACAAGGGAGTTGTCACCCCCTGGACTCAGCCCTGGGGTCACCACATCTGGACTGGTCTGTCTGTCTGTGAGGTTCCCCATTCTGGAGGAATGAGGAAGAACTGGAGAGGGTCTAGAGGAGATCTGACAGGATGGAGCTTTTCTACATACTGGAAATAGAATGAAATCTCCACAAAGAGTAGCATGGAAGGTTCAGACTGAAGGTGAGGAAAAAGAAATATCACTCCACGGTGACCCTAGTGCTGCAAGAGGTCACCCAGAGGGAGTCAGGATCAGCCCATGGCTTTGTGTTCCAGGGAACAGCCAGAGCTGGTGCAGAGCCATCAGGGAGGGTCTAGAAATGCTGCTGGGAGGGGGTGGGAAAGCAGGAGGGGTGTGTGCAGCCTGCAAGGCCAGAGCAGCAGCAGGGCCAGGGCAGGACAGGCTGCAGGAGAGATGGCCAAGGGCTCTGGCAGGGCTGCAAGGCCCAAAGGCACCCAGGCCTTTGTCCCCTTGCCTCTGGCAGCTGCCTCTGCCACTCAGGCCACCACAAGCCACTTTCCTGGCAGGTTCTGCCCTTGGGTTCTGCCTCGCCCCTCCCTCAGCAGCCTGGCAGGGGTTGCCCAGTTTTGGGCCTTTGTTGTTCCTCCCCTCCCATCCCAGTGCCCCCCAAACAGCCCTGAGCCAGCCGGGAGGGACAGGATCTGCTGGGCCAGGGCCTGGGGCTCAGCCCTTGGCCTTTGTGCTCCACAAACCCAAGGCAGGCTTTGCTCAGCATTGCAGGGGCCTGCCCAGAGCCTTTGTCTGCCTGCACTCCTGGCCTCCAAGGAGCTGCTCCAAGGAGTCCCTGGGGAGGCTTTGGCAGTGCCTGCCCTCAGTGGGGCCCAGCAATGCTTCAAGGCACTCGGACTTTGGCTTCTGACTTCTTCAGCAGCTGCTTCAATCTTCTCTCAGTACCTCAGGATCATGGGCTGGGCTGCAAACACACCGTGGGGCTCATTAAAATGCAGAAATCCCTCAGGATCTCTTTGTCTTCCTTTAATTGTCTTCAAGGCAATTTCAAAACAAGTCTTCCAAGTTTGTACTTTTTTTTCTTTTAATTCAATTATGGATATTTTTTAGTTCAGAGGAGAGGTGATAGAGGTGTTTTCCAAGTGATCTTGAGGCTGAGTGTCTCCTCAGGAGATCCACACTGACCCTGGATGATCAACCTTGCTCCTCACCCCTCAACCTCACCAGTTCTGACATGGCCCATCTTGGACTGACAGCTGATGCAACTCCAAACACACTGTGGGACCCATTAAAACACTGACAAACAAATTATTTTTCTTTCTTTAATTGTCTTCAAGATGTCAACAATAAATCGGAGTTGTTTTGTAGTTTAGCTAAGGAGGAAGATTTTAAAGTGGACATAATGAAAAATATATATATCTTTATGAAAGGGAATGATTTACACAAAGCCTTGGGATGCAAGAGGATCAGAATGCAAAGGATTTGGACACAAATATAAGGGGGCAAAAGAGATTAGTAGCATTTTATTATTGACCAGTTTAATAGTTATCAAGTGAATCAATAGCATTTGTTAGAATTTTAACAGTGACTGATTGGTATATTCACAACAGCAACATTCCCACCACAGTCAATTCACACCCACACCCAGGCAGAGATGTGTGGACACATCAAGAGCTGGCTGTGGAAAGGTCCCTCTCCCAAATTCTCCTTGTTGTCAGGGAAACACTCCCCCAAATCCCTTTGTGTTTCCCAACAGACAAGGGTCACAGCTGGAGGAGTGTTTGTGGAGGGGGATCAGAATTGTCCTGGGCATCACTGAGGGTCTTTGGAGTGTTGCAAACTGGAGGGTTCCCGAGCTGGGAGAGGCTGCCAGAGGTGTCCCACTGAGAAGGAGGTGCTGGGGAGCTGCCAGGGCCTCCCTCAGCCCCGCTGGGTGTGGGCTCCCAAGGGGACTGGCTTTAGTTATCTGCTCAATTTCCATTCTGGTGTCAGGAATGCCTGGAGTTTCCACAGTATTTGGAAATTCCATTCAAACAGTTCCATTTGGGTTACGATTGAGTCAGGGAATGTTCCAAGGTTTTCAGGGGATGACTCCTTATCCTGTGTTCCAGAGCTCTTACACCCATCCAAATCAGCTGGATGGTTTATTGACAATGTGTCCCGAGGGGCGGCACCTCCGATGCCATAGAAACCCCTGCCCCTGGATTAGGAAACCTTTGGAATTCAGGATCTGTTCCAGTGGAGCATGAAAATGAACAGCAATTTCCCTAAAGCCCAGAGCCCAGCAGAACAAAGGCAGGCCCCATCAGTGTCAGAGCAAAGGTCCCCCATCCCTGTGTCCCTGTGGCCGCTGAGGCGGCAGCGCAGGCCCGAGGCGGTGCCGGGTCCCGGTGCAGCCGGGGCAGAGCGGCGGCTGCGCGAGCGGCAACCCCGGCGGTGAGTGCGGCAGCCCCGTGGGAGCGGCGGCTCCGGGCACAGACGCCGGCGGCAGCCGCTGTGGCTCGTGGAACCGAGTGGCCATTGGGACACTGCAGGGCCTGCTGGAATCCAGGGGCCGGTGGGACACTGGGGAGCCTCTTGGAGCCAAGGGAACCCTGGGATATTTTGGAACATCGTGGAATCAAGGGGCCATTGTGACAGTGAGGGGCCTCATGGAGCCAAAGGAATCCTGGAGAGATAGTGGAAACTCATGAAATCATCAGGGCCATTGTGACACTCCAGAATCTCATGGAACCAAGGATCTCTTGTGACACTGAGGGACCTCATGGAACCAAATGAACCCTGAGAGTTTTTTCAGCCTCATGGAATCAAGGGGCTGTTTCTGGCAGGATGCTCTGCTCTGATAATACCTAAACAATGGTCAGAGAATGCAAACAATGCACACTCTCTGTGATGAGTTACTGCTGGTGTCAAGGTGCTGTTTTTAATGTTGAATTATGCTAACCCCAAAATGCTTCATGAAACTTCAAACACACATCCTGCTTTCTGAAGCAGGATTTGACAGAGAAGCTGCTCCCTGGCCTGCAAATATGTCTGGCAGTCAAATCCTTGATAACTGTAAAAGCCCCGTCCAACTGTCATGTGGCAGATTCTTCCACAGACTTCCTTGAAGTGTGTGGAGCTTCTGCCATGAAGCAGGGACAGCTCTTCATGGTCACTGCCCAGGGGTTAAGTGAAAGAGAGGGAACTACCCCTTGTCGCTGTGGGGTGAGTTACCTCAGTCTCTGCTTCAGGATTGTTTCTTTTTGCTGGCTTTGATCCAATTGATTTAATAGAATGACTTTGATAGACTCCACTGTCTAGTGTACACTATACTGCTAGGAGGTTTTGCCTTTTATACTGTGTAGTAAATAATTCTGATTGAGGTCTTTCATCTGTTCACTTGTCTGGTAAATTGTCTGTTCATTTGTCATAATAAATAATTCATTTTCTAGAAATATTTCTGATTTACCATCACTAAAACCTGCAGGACAAAGTGATTGAATCACACCTCTAGAATTCCTTCTATTGAAACAAAACTCTGAGCTTAAGATTGTACCCAGCCACCGCCAGGCTCCTCTCTGAGAAGGAATTTAGAAAGCAAGGGGGTCCTTTCTGCACCTCGTAGCTCAACGAGACGGCTTCTGCCATCAACTTTGTCTAAGCCTTCCACCCCCCAGCCCCAAGCCGTGACACATGGGCATGTCTTGTGCATGCAGTGCAAACATGGACTCCTGAGCTGGTCATTTGCTGTCCCTCCTTGGAGGGAAGAACAAGCCCAATGGCCTGGGGTGAGAGGCCAGTGCTGGGAGCGGCGCTGGCTGTGCCAGGGCACTGCTGGGTGCCCCCACCCTGAGCACTCCCCCCCTTGTGCTGGTCACTGCTGTTTTCCTCTGCAGGGCGTTGTGTTGGGCACATCCTGGAGAGCAAAGTGGAAAGCAGATTGAAGCTTTGAGGCCCTGGCCTGAGGAGATGCCCCTGCAGGATGGCAGTGCTGCAGAGGTCAGCTCTGTGCCAGCAGTGCCCGTGGCTGTCCCTGCCTGCAGTCCCTGGACAGTCCTGCAGCAGGACTGGGACCGACTGCCAGAGCACTGAGGCCTCCAACAACACAGGGCTCTGCAGGACAGTGTGGAAGGGAAGGGAGAGGAGGCCAGGCAGGAGAAGGGCTGCTGCTCCCTGGCAGTGCTGCTCTGCTGGGACTCTTTTCTGGCCCAGCTCTGCACAGAGGCACTGACCCTGCAGCTGCAGAGAAGTCAGAGAGGAAAGATGTCAGGCAAACAAGCCAATGCAGAGTTCTTTATTTGGTTGAAGCACAGAGTGAGTACAATTGCCAATTTGTACAGCCTCTGGGCCAGGCTAGAAAGGCAAACACTGAATTGAAAATGGTGTTTATATAGATATACTTTTTTACATATATCTTTATATATATAAAGATTTTATGGTGTGAACAAATTCTCACAAAAATAACACCCCTACTAGGAGTAAAAACATAGAGAAGATATGGTGGACCTTTAATGAAGTCCATAAAAGGATTGGCCTTTAATGAGGTCCATAACATGGAGAAGAAGGAGAGTTTATTGCTTCTGAAAAACACTCTGTTATCAGTTTCCTCAGGGCATCCTTGAGCTCCTGGTTCCTGAGGCTGTAGATGAGGGGGTTCAGTGTTGGAGACACCACTGAGTACATGAGTGACACAATAAGATCCAGGGATGGGGAGGAGATGGAAGGGGGCTTCAGGTGGGCAAAGAATAAGGTGCTGATAAACAGGGAGACCACAGCCAGGTGAGGGAGGCAGGTGGAAAAGGCTTTGTGCCGTCCCTGCTGAGAGGGGATCCTCAGCACTGCCCTGAAGATCTGCACATAGGAGAACACAATGAAAATGAAAGACCCAATCATTAGACAGGCACTAAACACAATGAGCCCAATTTCCCTGAGGTAGCCTGAGTGTGAGCAGGAGAGCTTGAGGATGTGTGGGATTTCACAGAAGAACTGGCCCAGGGCATTGCCCTGGCACAGGGGCAGGGAAAATGTACTGGCTGTGTGCAGCAGAGAATAGAGAAACCCAGTGGCCCAGGCAGCTGCTGCCATGTGGGCACAAGCTCTGCTGCCCAGGAGGGTCCCGTAGTGCAGGGGTTTGCAGATGGCAACGTAGCGGTCGTAGCACATGATGGTGAGGAGGAAATACTCTGCTGTGATGAAGAAATAAAAGAAAAAGGCCTGTGCAGCACATCCTGTGTAGGAGATGGTTCTGGTGTCCCAGAGGGAATTGTGCATGGCTTGGGGACAGTGGTGCAGATGCAGCCCAGGTCTGTGAGGGAGAGGTTGAGCAGGAAGAAGCCCATGGGGGTGTGCAGGTGGTGGTCCCAGGCTACGGCGCTGAGGATGAGGCCGTTGGCCAGGAGGGCAGCCAGGGAGATGGCCAGGAAGAGCCAGAAGTGCAGGAGCTGCAGCTCCCGCCTGTCTGCGAGTGCCAGGAGGAGGAACTGTGTCATGGAGCTGCTGTTGGACATTTGCTGCCTCTGGTTATTGTTTTCTGTTGAGGGGAATAAAGACAGAACTGAATTAGGCCAGACTCAATCAGCAAAACATCTTGCATGTCTCATAGCAACTCAACATTCAGGGCCTCTTTTCAGGAAGATCTCTCTGCATCCCTCTCCCCGAGCTCTGGGTTTTGCTGGCTGAAGGGGGCACTGAGAGCAGGGACCCTGGAATGGGCTCCCAAGGAATCCTTCTTGCTGTGCAGTGAGAGGCAACTTGGAGCACAGGGTGACCTCCAATTAAATGCACTTGTGATGTATCAGAGTGTTTCCAGAACTGCTGGTCACAGTTTGCCCAAGCACAGAACACAGAGAGGGGATTTGGGGGACTTGATTTTGTTCGAATTCCTCTTGCCAGGAGGAGTTTGGATGGTTGAAATTTCTGACATTTCTCATGTGCTCCAAGGGAAATCTTGTGAGTCCTGAGAGGCAAAGGGATGGTCTCTTGGTGCAGAGACAAGAGCTGGCCATCTTTCCTGTTCACAGCTGCCCCTGGCTGGCAGCTTGGAGCTAAAGGGGGATCACCCTTAGGAATTCCCTTAAAAAAAGTAACAAGGCACTTCTAGGAGCAGAGGAATCCTGGTTCAAAGATCAGATTGACAGAATCCTTGCCTTTCCTCAGGATGCCTGATTAGGATCTCATCTTTCTCCTCCCAGACTGCCACACACAGGGATCATTGCAGCTCCCAAGTGCGGCTGCCCAGGGCATTTCCATGGATTTAGCACTGAGGAGTTTTCTCCATGGGGATCCTGTGCAGCACAGAGATCCTATGGCAGAGCTGAGCCCTTCTGGAGGGCACCTGCAGCCCTGCAGGACACCCAGGCAAACAGCTGAAGACCCTGAAGGTGCCTGGAGGGCACTTGGGCACTTGGCTCCCACAGACACATCCCCACAGCAGCACCCAAAGGGTTTGTGTCTGGACAGGAATCTGCCACCCCCAAACCCCACAGTGGCTCAGAAAACCCACTGGTGAGAACAAGGAGAGCCCAGGCAGCAGGGGATGGCAGGGAAATGCCACAGTGCTGCTGCCAAGGGAAGGGGTCTGTGCCACAGGGACAGCAGGGAGGGGCCCACATCCCCCTGCCCAGCCCTTGTGGCAGCAGCTGCCTCTCCCTGCCTGCCTGTCTCTGGGTGAGGAGCTGTTCCTGCCAGCAGCCCCTCCCTGTGCCCAGCTCAGCTCCCTGCCAGTGCTGCCAGAGCCATCCCCAGCCCAGTGCCCAGGGGCAGCTCTGCCTGGGCAGGGGCTGCAGAGCAGATCCCAGACAGCCTGCGGTGGCTGGGAAGGGGGAGGTGTTCTGGGGGGATGTGCTTCCTGAGAAGGGCCCCTGGAAATGGAGGAGGTGGAGCTGAAGCTGTGAGGAGCCCTGAGCCTGCAGCTGAAGGGCCCTGCCCAGCCCTGCCCTGCCCTGAGGGGTCACTCCTTCCACCCACCCCTTCTCCCCCAGCCCCATGGCTACTCCTTGGCCGGGCTGAGAGCTGACCCTGGCAGGCAGCAGAGTCCCTGCCCCAGCACACAGAGCCCTGGGGGCAGGACCCTGCTCTGCCCCACAGCCCTGGGCACCCCTGGCTGCACTCCCACCTTCCCACCCCACAGCCAGCCCTGCTACAGGGAACCTTCTTGCCCTGGGCCTCTGATGGGGCAGCAGCAAGTCCTGCTCTGCAGCAGCTTCTCCTGCTGCACCCCAGCAAATCCAGCAGAGCCATCCTGACAGCTCCTGCCACTGCTGCCATTTGGCAGCTGGGAGAGGCACTTGCAGGAACTCACCTGCCCTGCTCTGCAGCCAGAGCCTGACCCTGGCAAAGGGCTGGCAAGGTTCCTGCCCTGAGCAGCTCTGCCCTGTCCTCCCAGCCCAGGATCCCTTGAACCTCCTGCTCCCTTCTCCTCTCTGCCCTTGCTGCCTGCAGCTCCTGCCCTGCTCTGCCATATGGCCACTTCCCCTGCACTGCAGCAACTGGGAGAGTCCTGCTGAAAGATCCTAGAAGCTGTGGGATGTGGTAGCTTTAGGAGATCCCTCCAGGAAGGCAAGTTGAACTTTCCTACAGCCAGAGAATTCTTCATTCAAATGCTGTGAAGGTTTCTCACGTAGCGAGAGCTCAGTCACCTCCCAGCCCAGGTTGCCTCTCATCTCTCTGCCTTCTCTCCTGTGCCCTGGGTGCTGCAGGCAGTGCCCTCAGCCCTGCTGGGCTGTGCAGAGGAGCTGCTCACCAGCAGAGCTGTCTCTTTGAAGCTCTTCTTGCTTGCCAGGAGCTCCCTGTGTGCCAGGAGCCCGGCCCAGCTCAGCAGCACAGCAACAGCCCCAGGCAGCCCTTTCTCTGCCCCCCTGGGCTCCCTCCAGCTGTCCCTGGGGCTCCAGGGGAACCTGCTGGCACACAGCTGAAGGAAATAATGATGTGCCTTCTCTCAGCTGGGCACAGACACTTCTTTTAGCACTGTCATTTCTCCAAACACACACAAAGTCCAAGAGTCCCCTTTTCATGTCCCATCATTAGACAGGAAACCCAGACAGTGCCCAGGAGGGATCCCCTTCACCTGCACTGAGGGAAGGGACTCAGCTGAGTCAACAGAGGTGTCTCCTTGTGGCTCTGCAGACCTGGGGCCAGAAGGACACTCAGCTCCCTCCACAACCCCCATGGGCTGGGATTCCTCCTGCCCCACTTCAGTGGGCCCAAAACAGGCCCCTGCAGTGACTCCTTGTCCCAGCTCCCATGGCAATGAATGAAGACCAAAGCCAGGAGTGACCTGCTGAGACACAAAGCCCTGGTTCCTTCTGAGGGGCCAGAGGTGACCAAGATTCCTGCTGGGAACTGCAGGCTCCAATGGAGCAGTTCCTAGGGACAGGGCAGCAGCTGTGGGATCTTCTTGGAGGCTGCTGGGACATTGCTTTGGCCAACTTCAGTGGCAGAAGGTGCCCACATGTAGCACAGGGGAACCTGTCACTGTTCCTTCTGTCCAGGGCAGCCCATGGAGGTGCTCAGGTGACCAAATGGAGTCAGGTGGCACAGGGAGAGAGGTCTCTCTCCTGTTCTTTATCAGGGTATTTTCTACATGTCCTCAGAGTACAATGGCAGTTGTCTCCTGGACATCCCTTCACTGCTGAACCTCATTCAGGGCAGCAGAGCCTGGACTGAACAGCCAAAGAGGGGCCTGTAGTGCAGGGGAGATGCCAGGGCTCTGCAGCACAAGTGCAGCAGCTGCCATGGACAGCACAGGGCCTGTGCAGGGACCCCATCCCCATTCCCAGCAGTTGTGGGACAGGCACCACCCAGGGCTTCTCAGACACATTGGGGGCCTTTGGGGCAGGGAGTGAATCCCAGCCCTGCAGGGACACAAAGGCTGTCCCTTCTCTGCCCAGCCAAGGCCGGGCCAGGCACGAGTCCAAATCCCATCAGCCCAGGCTGTCCACACTTGTTCCCTCCCTCTGCTGGCTCTTCTCTCCCCCAGCATTTCAGCAGCATGTGCTGATCTCCTCAGGGATCAGGCCTGGGATTTTCCCCCGGGCCTGAGTCCCAGCACGTCCACCCCCAAGGCCATTGTCAGCAAAGCCTCTGCACAGCCCAGCTCTCGGGGCTTTCAGAGCAGCTTTCCCCACTGCAAGTCTGTTCTTACCCCGGTGCCCCCGCTGAGGGGCTGCAGCCAGACAGGCCCCAATGCCCTGCGTGTGGGGCACAGGCAGGAGGAGCTGCAGCCCCAAGTCTCTCTGCATTCCACTTGCAGGCAATAACAGCCCAGGCCTGCTGAGACAGTTCCCAGGTTGCAGGTCTGTGATGGGTTGGGAGAGAAGGCCAAGGAGACACAGGAGAGAAAGAGCAGGAGAGAGGTGTCCTCAGTGGGAAGGAGCTTCTTGGACCTGTGGAGCTGCTCTAGGGGATGAACAACTTGGGTGAACTTTTGTGGGTGAGGGTCAGAGGAGAGAGTGGTTTGGGTGACATTGTGGAGTGAGACAAAGAGCCCATTCCAGTTGTCTTTGATAACCCTGGAATTCACTGGAAAGGCACCATGACAGGATGCAAAGAGTCCCAGAGGTTTGTACAGAGTCTTGGTGAAGACACCCCTTGGGACACAGGCCTTTAGAGCACAGCTGGCAGGTTGGTGGACAAGGGGGAGGCTCATCTGCATCTGCTTCTCTCCAAGAGGAACCAAGAGGTTACCATAGTAACTGACTGTAGCTATGGGAATGTATGCTGGTTGCCATGGTGACCGACCATAGCAACAGGAATGTATGCTGGTTGCCATGATAACTACCCATAGCAATGGAAATGTCTGATGGTTGCCATGGTAACCGACCATAGCACTGGGAATGTATGCTGGTTGCCATGGTAACTGACTGTAACAACAGGAATGTATTCTGGTTGCCATGGTAACCGACCATAGGAATGTGACTTTATGATGGTTGCCATGGTAACCGAGCATAGCAATGCGAATCTGTGATGGTTTCCATGGTAACAAACCGTTACAATGGAAATATGTGATGGTTGCCATGGTGACTGTAGCAACAGGAATGATTGATGCTTGCTGTGGTAAATGACCGTAGCAATGGGAATGTATGATGGTTGCCATGGTAACTGACTGTACCAAAGGGAAATATGATGGTTGCCATGGTAAGTGACCATAGCAGTTTGAATGTATGATGGTTGTCATAGTAACTGACCACAGAAGCGGGAATGTATGCTGGTTACAATGGTAAACGACCGTAGCAGTGGGAAGTATGATGGTAACCATGGTAACTGACTGTAGA